GTGCTTAAATAAGTGGACCCTGGAGGATCTTATGTCAAGCCAACCCAGAATCATATCTTAAGATTAGCTGAAGAGCTAGGATCAGAGACGTACGAAGGGAATGAAGCAGAGTATCTGTTCCACCATATGAAGCCAAGATGGCGGTGTGGGCAGACAAGGCTCGCCTCTTCACACAACTACATCAAAATTACAACTAAAATATAGAACAGCCATCACTCAGAACCGTCAGAAATCAAGTTGAATGGAAGTCTGGCAACTACAGGATTAAAGATTAAAGATACCACATCCATCCAGACTGGGAGGAGGGGCGCAGATGTGGAACAGACTGGTCCCTCACCCACGTGTGGTGGATAAAAATTTCAGAGGGACATCTCAGGAGTGAGGAGTCCCAGCTCTACACCAGTCCCCAGCCCAAGATTCCAGTGGCAGGAAGATCAGTCCCCACATCTTTTGGCTACAAAAGCCAGTGCAGATTGAGTCCGTGGAAGAGGCTCCTGGAGCCCCAAGCATTTCCTCTTAAAGAACCCGCACACCGACTCACCTACTCAGACTCACTCCCTCTGGGCTCCAGCGCGGGGGTAGCAGCTTGAAAGGCACCAGTGGCATAAAGAGAGGAACTGAGGTGTCTGGCATCAAGGAGAGCAGAGGCCATTGTCCCTTTTCTAAACCCTCCCCCCACAGAGCTGGCAGGATGGTGCCATATCTGAGACTCCCTCAACCTGGCCAACGCTGTGTGACCCACCTTGGAGATCCCCACAGGCTCTGTCCCACCAACTTAGGGGCCACCCAAGCTGCTTCTCCCTATGAATGGCTGGTCTTGGCTCAGGCTTCACAACTTCCTAAATCCTCTCAAACAAGCAACAGCTGGCCTCGGTGAGCCCCAAACCCTGTACCTCTTGCTAAGTGATCCAGGCCTGGCACCAGCAGCAGCCAGCCTAGGTTCACAGCTTGGCTTCACCTGGGAATCTCTAAGCCCAGCACAAGTAACAGCCATCTCAGGTTGCTTTATAGCTCAGGCAGGGTGGCCCCGGGCAAAATACAGGTGGAGGCTGACCTTGGTCTGCAGCACCCGGGAAACCCCAGGGCCAGCGCACCCAGTGGGCAGCTACAGACCACGCTGGAGCACCACCGCCCTGTCCTCGCAGAGCTGGTCCTCCACGGATGGTGGAGCTTGATGGTCAGTGGTCACAGCCAGTCTTGCAGCTGACTGGCCTGGATAAATCCCTCCCATTGACCTGCCAACAGCAATCAAGGCTCAACTACAAGAGAAGGGTGTATTCAGCCCACATGAAGGGTGCACCTTGGGTACCCTGCTTGGGTGATAGGGGAGGCTGTGCCGCTGGACCCTATGTGACACCTTCTACATTAGGCCACACCACCAAGACACAGAGTCAAAACAGCTCTACCTAATACATAGAAACACGCACAGGGAGGCTGCCAGAACGGGGAGATAAAGAAACATGGCCCAAATGAAAGGACAGATCAAAACTCCAGAAAAAGAGCTAAACAAAATGGAGATAAGCAGTCTATCAGATGCAGAGTTCGAAACACTGGTTATAAGGATGCTCAAGGAACTTAGCGAGGACCTTGGCAGCGTAAAAAAGATCCAGTCAGAAACGAAGCCTACACTGAGTGAAAAAAAAGTTTACAGGGAAACAACTGTAGAGTGAATAAAGCTGAGAATCAAACCAATGATTTGGAGCAGAAGGAAGCAAAAAACAACCAATCAGAACAACAAGGAGAAAAGAAGGGGGAAAAAAGGATAGTATAAGCAACCTCTGGGACAACTTCAAGAGGTCCAACATTTGAACCATCAGGGTCTCCAGAAGGAGAAAAGAAAGAGCAAGAAATTGGAGATCTATTTGAAAAAAACAATGAAAGAAAATAGGAGATCTATTTCCTTCCCCAATTTGACGGAGGAAATAAACATGCAAGTCCGGGAAACACAGATTTCCAAACAAGATAGATGCAAAGAGGCCCACTCCAAGACACATCATAATTAAAATGCCATAGGTTAAAGATAGAGAATCTTCAAAACAGCAAGAGAAAAGCAGTTAGTTACCTACAGGGGAGTTCCCAAAAGACTGTCAGCTAATTTCTCAAAAGAAACTTTGTAGGTCAGAAGGGATTGTGAAGAAATATTCAGTCATTAAAAGCAGGGACCTACAGCCAAGACTGTTCTACCCAGCAAAGCTATCATTTAGAATCAAAGGGCAGATAAAGAGCTTCCTAGACAGGAAAAAAAACTAAGGGACTTCATCATCACCAAACCATTATTATATAAAATGTTAAAGGGATGAATTTAAGGGAAAAAAGGTCAAAACTATGAACAATAAAATGGCAAAAAATACATATCTGTCAATGATTGAATCTAAAAAACAAAATAGACAAACAAGAAGAACAGAGAGAGAATCATGGATACAGAGAGCGTTCTCGTGGTTGCCAGATGCGAGGGGGGGTAGGGGAGCGGGCGAAGCGGTGAGGGGACTGAGAAGTACAAACAGGTACAGAACAGCCGTGGGCATGTAAAGGACGGGACAGGAAATGGAGCAGCCAAGAACTTATACCATGACCCGTGGACGTGAACAACGGTGGGGGGACGGCCTGAGGGAGTGGGGGGCGCTGGGCGGAGGGGGGCCAAAGGGGGAAAGAAAAACCAGGACAACTGTAGTAGCATAGTCAATAAAGTATAATTTAAAAACAGGAAATCAAAATTTAAAATGGTGGTAGATATTTCTAGGGCTCCCCTCCTTTTTTTTTTAGGATTTTATTTATTTTTAGAGAGAGGGGAAAGGAGGGAGAGAAACATCGATGTGAGAAACCTTGATCAGCTGCCCCTTGTACGTGCCCCACGAGGGGATGCAACCCACAACCCAGGCACGTGCCCCGGCCGACCAGTGACCCTTCGCTTTGCAGAACGATGCCCAGCCAAATGCGCCCCGTTGGCCAGGGCTCTCCCCTTTCTGAACGCAGGGTTTTATACAACTAAAATTTTGTTTATGTTTCAATGATTTGAGTGGACTTTTTCAGGATAGGTAAAAGCACATAAGACATACGTGGCCCTCAGAGAAAGGACTTCTGAAAGATCTGTTCCTCATTTTGAAACACCTTCACTTAGGAATAGGCACCAGGACCTCCCCTTGATTCCATGGATTATACCTTCACGGCCCTCGTCATCCGGAATCGGCTGGGGCAGGGAGACAGCAGGAGGGAACTCTAAAACCGTTACCTGCCTGAGGTTTGTTTGAATGGAAGCAGGACGAAAGTGACCAGGCACCCATAGATCTGGCGGCCTTGCCACGTGAACGATTAATAAGCGGGCCTGTGAGGCTTCGAGTCCAGAATATCAATGAGGTAGCTGGTGGTGCATTCGGTGACTCCAACGCAGTGAGGGGGGGGCGTCCGGCACCCTACCCTCAGCGTGACTGGCCCTGGCAGCTGACCCAGGACGGGGTGACACCATGCAATGGCTGATGACTCAGGTCCTCCTCAAGTTTCGTCTGTGGACGACATTCCTCGATCTGGTTCGGGGGGAGGCTTATCAAAGCCACCCAATTCCTAATTTAGCCATCAAGGTCTAACGCCTCTTCCAGCTCTGGCTGCTGTGCCTCAGTGGATTGAGCACCAGCCTGCAAACCAAAGGGTTGCTGGTTCGATTCCCAGTGTAGGGCCCATACCTGGGTTGTGGGCCAGGTCCCCAGTAGAGGGCATGCAAGAGGCAACCACACATTGCTGTTTCTCTCCCTTTCTCTCTCCCTTCCTCTCTCTCTAAAAATAAATAAAATCTTTTTAAAAATGAATAAATAACTAAAGCCTTCCAGGATCTAAGACCCCTTGACATCGGGTTCAGCCGTGAGATTTGCTTCAACAGCAGGCGGAAGGCCTCAAGTACTGCACACAGATGCTCAAAAAGCGCTCTGTGGTGATTTTTTGTTGTTGTTGTTCAAATACATTTGTCTCCTGTGGTGACTTCTCAATGGAAGAACACACCAGACCGCAGCAGGTGGCCCCTGGCAGCCTCAACGTGGGGGACGGGGGGGCGAGGCTCAGAGGCCCAGGGACCTGTGGTAGGGCATGCCTGGTCCCTACCCTGGAGATTCTCGCTGCGCCATTTCTCCCACATTCTGTTGGTGGAATCACTAGCCCAGCTGGGGGCAGAGGGTCACCCCCCACCCCATTCTCCTGGGAAGCAGTGTTCTTATCGAACAAATGAAGTCTCTCCCCGACCCCGCCAAATTCACATATTGAAGCCCTAACTGCCAAGAACTCAACAGGGACAGTCTGGCCCTGGCTAGGTGGCTCAGCTGGTTGCAGGGTCATCCCATAAACCGAAGGGCCATGGGTTCAATTCCTGGTCAGGGCACATGTACAGGTTGCGAGTTCGATCCCAATCAGGCCTCCTCTTCAAGAGGCAACTGATCGGTTTCTCTCTCACATTGATATTCTTTTATCCTCCCATCCCCTCTCTCTAAAAATAAAGCCTTTTTAAAAATGAGGCCATTGAAGTGGGCTTGTATTCCAAACTGACTGGTGTCTTGTAAGAGGAAATTTGGGACAGAGGGCGCCAGGACACATATGCGGAGATCATGCGGGGACACAGTGAGGAGGTGACTGACAGGTAGAGGCCTCGGAAGAAAGCGAACCAGCCGCCCGCCCCCACCCTGGTCTCAGCCTTCCAGCCCCGGGGCCGAGGAAGGGAAGCCTGCTGTCGGAGCCCCCTGGCCGGCGGTACGTCAAGGCTGCCCTTGCAAACCAGCACGAGTATCAGACTGTGGACCACTGGCAACGCTTATTTGGACAAACGATCTGGGAGCCTGCGTCTTGTTTCCATTACCATCACGGCTGCATGTTTCCAACCGCGTAACCGCAGCGGCTGTAAGGTGCTTATTAATTGCAAGGCATCCGGCTCCAGGGCACTCAGAGCCGGGGCCACTCTCCTGGAATGGAGACGGATCTGGGGGTTTCCGGGAGCAGAATGGACACACGTGAACAAGGGCATGTTTTGTTAAACTCATTCAACATTTATTGAACTGTGAACCCTTGCAAACATGGCTGAAACCTGAAACTCACGCACCAGGATCCCTCTCTTGGCTTCTCCTTGAGAGCGAAGCCTGGAGTGGGACCATCCCGAACACCAGCGCGGGGACAGGGAGAGGCGGGGGAGGGCAGGCAGATGGTGAATGGCGGGGGCCAGGAGGAGGAGGGCCATTGTGCAAAGCTATATTTCGGGGAGACACACACACACACACAGGCAGACCAGGGGCGTCGATCTCTGCCCCGCGCGGCAGCCGCAGAACATCTGGGAAAGACCGGCGTCCACGAGACATTTCAGTCCATCCCGTCATGAAGCGTCCGCCGAGAGGGGCTGGGCCAAGGTCACTGGGCTGTGCAGAGAGAAGGGGTGGGGGGGGGGGGGTCAGCCTGTGGGGAGAGAGGCCAGGCTGGGGCCCGTGAGAAGCGAAGGGCGGTGAGAGGGAGATGAGGAAAATGCAATCGCAGGGAGAAAATGAGGCGCAAGGAAGTGGGGCGACCAGGAGGGGAGACTTCTAACCCCACAGGCAAGGCGGGCCCTCGTTTGAATTCACCTTGAGGATCTCGGGGGAGGAAAGGGGAGGCCCTGCGTGGAAGCGGGTGGCCGCAGGCTTACAGAAAGCCCCCCAACACAGCCAGAAGGTCCGATTCCGGAGAAGCCACGAAGCCACGAGTCACCAGAGGCGCTGGCCTCGGGGCGGGGGTCGGGGCTCGCCTTGCCCAAAGACAGGCTGACTGGGAGGAACCCTGGAATGCTGCCTGCTCAGTGTCCAGGTTTGCCCGGGGCCACACCTGCTCGCCTATGCTAACCATGCGACCTGGGGGTGGGGAGAGCTCAGCCCGGAGGTGGCAGCTCTCGACCTCTGGAGGGGCTGGAAACCAAGGTCAGCCACGAAGGCCGTCAGCTGTGTCTACCTGCCTGGCCCCAAAGTAACACCCTGGACACCGCAGCTCAGGTGACCTCCCTGGCCGGCGGCCTGTGGCCACACACCACCGCTGGGGGCTGGGTGCTGTCGGCCTGACTCCACAGGGCGCTCCCGCCCGCTGCCTCTTCCCTTCGCTGACTTTAACCTCCATCCCTGCCCTGCAAGGAACCGAAGCCCGGGCATAACAGTTTGCCCAGTTCTGGGAGCCCTCCTAGCAAATTGCCGAACCTGAGCTTGGCCTTAGGGACCCCAAAACTGCACTCACAAAACATACAAGTCAGAGTCACTCTTTCCCTCTCCCCTTTCTTGACGTCATTGCCATTTGTGCTTCCGTTGGCTGACATCACCCACGGGTGGACCTCTCTGGAATCCGGGTAAATCTCACGCTGATGTAAGGGAGCGCCTTTGAGTTACCGACAGTTTGGAAGGGGCGCAAGGTGTGTCTCTGCAAGGGGCAGGCTCCACTTGGGTAAGGAGTCAAGTCCCCGGCGGGTGACACCCCCAGCCCGCTCTCCTTACAGTATCAGCAGCCCACGTGTATTCAGCTCATGCAGCTTTGAAATCACACAATTCTTGAGTTTTTTTTAATTGGGGGAGGCTCTGTGCATTTCAGGCCCAAGCACAGGCATGACGTTTGCACTTTTGCATTGCACTGACTGAAACTTGTGGGTCCAAATTCACACTGAACGTGACCTCGCTCTGTTCTAGCAAAGCACTCTAAGAAATGGAACTGGCGTTTAAAGCATTTGAGAACCGGCCCTGGCTGGTGTGGCTCAATGGACTGAGGGTCGGCCTGTGAACCGAAAGGTTACCAGTTCAATTCCCAGTCAGGGCACGTGCCTGGGTGCAGGCCAAGTCCCCAGTTCAGAGGTGTGCGAGAGGCAACAGATACCTGTCGCACATCGACATTCCTCTCCTTTCTTTCTCCCTCCCTTCCCCTCTCTTGAAAAAGAAAATCTAAAGCACTTGAGCGCCAGGGTGCTGGGGGCAGGTGCCAGAGTCCACAGGATTCTGGGATGGGGTCCTCAGTTCTAGACACTGCAGGGTGGGGCCTGGCCCTCCAGTTTGGAGGGTGGTAGAAAGCACCTCTAGGTTCTCCAGGGTCAGGAGCCAGAATCCGGTTCTGGGCTTGGCTAGCAACCAGTGCCCAGCTCTAGAATGGGTTGGGTTTGAGGCTCACCGGGAACATACTGGCCTGAAAATTGGAAATCGGCTGAAAAGCAGTTCTATGATTGCAAGAACAGTATGGAAATTGCCAGTTGCTCTGGGGTGTGCTGGGCTGGAAACTAGCACTCGGGTTCGGAGTACACGGGGAACGAGGAGTGAACTGTAGGGTCCAGGAGCTGGGCCCCTCACCTCTGCCCTAAGGGCACACTAGCCCTGAGCCAGGGCGGCTTTGATGGCGGCCACCAGCTTCAGGAACTTGCTCTCTGTGTCCACGTAGCCATCGCCTCTCTGGGGATGCAAGATAGAAGCGGTGAGCTGGGTCCAAGACATCAAGCCCACCCGCCACCCCCCACCCCCCAAGACTCCAAAAATGAGGCAGGATGGACAGACAGACATACCTTCTTGGAGTGAACCAACTTCCCTGCTACTGTTACTTCAAAGAACCCGGTAACCTGGGGGGTCCCCTCGCCACACTGGGGGGAGAGAGAGATGTCGTGTGGGCAGGGTACTCTCTTGGGGACCCCCGCCTCGCCCAGGAAATGGAGAACACGGGTGAAGGGAGGGCTGCCCCACACTGGCGGACGGACGGACAGAGTGGCCCATGTCAGCCCTCCCCTGTCCCCGTGACTCACGATGTCCAGGCATCCAGGGAACTCATCTTCCAGCTTCTTCTTGAGCTGAAGATACTGTAAGCGGAGGTCACAAGAGATGTCAGCAGAGGCCCTGCCAGCTCTCCTTCCCCCGCCACCTTCCCGGGACGGCTGGCCGGCCACTCTGCTTACCTTGGGCTTGTAGCCTCAAGCGCCACTGGTGGGAGAGTCCAAGACAGTGGGACCCCGGGACGAGGCAGACGGTGGGAATCCACGGAAAGGCAGGCGGGGGTGGAGGGCGCAGCAGGAGATGGAGGGACGTAGGAGGGGAGCCAGGAAGAAATGCAGAGGAACACAGGTGATAAAACCAAGGAGGGGACAGACATCCTCGAGAGAGAGAGCAAAGACACACACAGAGTGTTGGGGAGCAGGCAGAGATGGGGGGCAGGGACACAGGAAGGAGGCAGACAGCCGGAACCGAGCAGGGGAGCCAAGAGACAGGCAGAGAGGGGGGCGGGGAAAAGGGGGTGAATGGAAAACCACAAGTAGATGGAGGAAGGGAGGAGGCAGGAGGGAGGGAATGAAGAGAACTGGGTTAGGGTGAGAACAGCAGAAACAATACCCCACCCCCTCCCAGTCCACCGCCTGGCGGCCACCCCCCACCCCCAGGCCTGGCAGGCTCTGAGGGATCCCCAAGGCCCTGCCAGGCCTGAGGCTGAAACCCAACGCCTCCCCAGCCCCCACTGCAGGCTATTTCAGGGCTGCGGTCTGGAGCACAGGCCTGTGGGGGCCTCAAAACGTCACTCCACCCGGGCCCTGCTGAATGGGCATTTCTAACGCGGAGGCAGAGCTGATCCCCTCAGAAGCGCGGGCTGCCCCGTGGGCGCTTCCCGGGCAGGAAGCTGGGCGACCCAGACTGGGGGCTGCAGGCTGGACCTCAAACTACTGACCTGCCCGCCCCACTCCCGGCCTCAGTTTCCTCACCTGTAAACTGGAGCTAAGAGTCTCCTCTCTCAAGAGGTTTCTGGTGGGGGATTTTCACGGACGGCGTATTTGCTAAAAGACACCGGCCAGCGCGCCTGTGCACGCCAGGCAGCACTACCCGCCAGAGGCCACGCCCCAGCGCTTGTCTCCCAGAGAAAGTGCCCGATCCTCCCGGGGCGCTTCCACCGCGGGGAACCGGCCCGAACGTGGTAAACACACATGACTCCATCCGCGGGAACTACTAAGATCACTCCCTCGCTCCCTCTACAGATGGGGAAACTGAGGCCAGAAAAGCTGCAGGATTAGTGCCCAAGTCCATCTCTTGTATTCATTCCTTTCCAAACCCACACCGAATATTCTCGAACATTCTGGAACATTCTCGACTCTCCAACAGCATCCTACGCTTGTTCACGGTGCTGGGAGAGGGGGCGTCGAAGAACTGACGGAGGCTCCTCTCCCCTTACATTCGGACCCCACCCGCCCTCCAAAACTGGGTCCTAGAGTGCGTAGGTTTCACACGGGCACATTGTGCCTCGGGTCTACCTTCTGTAACCCGAGGTGTCTAGAAGGTCACAAACTGGAGAGGGGTCAAGGCTCTGTGGTCTGCGCCCCGCTCACGCCCACCCCACCCCACCCACAAGGGAGTCCCCGTTCTCGCGGAAGCTGCCCAGGGGCCCTGTCCCTGACGCCCCCAGTCCCCGGCGCCCAGCCCCACTGGGTCCGGGCGGGGCTTCTGGTGTCGTGCTCACCAATAAACGACTCGGACGGCAAGACCCATGGCTCGCGATCGCAGCATCCGCGGGAGCACGGACACAATCCACCTGGGCCGCAGACTCCCGGGGTCTGCGCTCGGGCTGGAACGCCCCGCACCCAGCACCAGCCTCCGCGCTCCACGGAGCGAACCAACGCCGGGGGGAGACGGAAGGGAGAAGTGCCCACAGCGGGGGAAAAGAGGCCCCCACGGTCTTCCCTCAACCCAGCGCCTCGCCCAAACCTCTCCTGTCCCCGAGGAGGGCCAGGGAGCCTCTGAGAGAGGGGGACCGCGGGGACAGGGTCTGAGCGCCCCCTCCCGGATCCCCCTCCTACCTGAATGGTACGGCCCATTGGGGCGGGGTTCAGGACCTACCGCTACTTGCAGGAAAGGAAATTGCCGGGGAGGGTGCAGTTTCACCGTGTGGTCCGGGAGGGGTTGGCTCTTGGGCCTCTCTCCTGCCCTGGAGAGGGCGACAGGGCCCGGTCCGGAAGGATTCTGGGCCCGCAGGGGCCGGCCCGTGCCACCGAGGTTTCTAGAGAGCGCGCCAGGGCCCCAGCTGCCCTTTTAAGACCCGGAAGACGCCTGATCACCATGGCAACCTCTCTGTGCCTTCCAGCTCCTGGAGGGTGCTGGCAACTGAGTTAAAGGTGTTAGGGTGCGGACGCCTCTCTCTGAGCCTCCGTCTCCCCGTCTGGAAGATGGGCGTGACGACCTTCAGGGACTACACGGCGGACCCACCTGGAATCCTGGTTATGGGGATACAGTGGTTTGGCTGGTGGCGGTAAAAGGAAGAGGCCGACCTGATAACAGCGCTTCTCTCCTGGGGCTGATGTGAGCCTCCCGTGAATTCATGCGCTGGAAAGAACTAGAACAGAGTCCGTCCCATGAGGACAGCTCGGTAAAGGTTGACTCTGCTGGGAGGACTTCCTGTCCCAGTTTCTGTCTTTGGCTCACCTGCTGTAACCCTGACATCTCAGGGCAGGTGGCAGACAAGTTGCAAGTGCCACTCCACCCCTGTTGCTGTGTGACCTCTGATTCTGATGGTCTTGGAAAGATACGAGGAGCTTGTGACTTGGAGCGCTTAATGCAGGGCCGGGCGTGGTCCCTGTCCTTGGCACAGCCTCTCTCAGTGGTTTCCAGAGCCCTCAGAACAAAACCCCAAACCTTGGCACCATCTGCCCCTGCCTGGGCACGTTGGCGCCTTCTTGCTGCTTCTGTCAGAGCCCCGGTCCCACGGAAGCCGTGCGGCCTCCTCAAGCACCTCCCCCGCTGTTCTGCCTCTGGGCCTTTCTTGGCACGTGCTGCTTCTCGTGCATCCTCCAGGAAGCAGCTCCAGCAGATTGCAGGGAACATTTGTCTTCGATGGGAAGCGATGCCTCTTCTACAGCGCATCTGTGTGTGCGTGACACAGTGCTGTTGTAAAAACCAAGCCGTCTAAACCACAGAAACCTACGTCACAGTGCGGGAGGCCTGCGCTCCCAGGCCAAGGGGTCGCCACGGTTTCTTCTGAAGGCGGAGAAAGAACCTTTCCCCCGCTTCCCTCCCAGTGTCTGGTGTTTTGCTGGGAACCCTTGACGCTCCTTGGCGTGTAGATGCGTCACCCTAGCCTCTGTCTCCCCCTTCACGCGGCGTTCTCCCCGTGTGCGCATCACTGCATCCAAAGTCCCGCATGTTATAAGGACGCCGGTCATGTCGGGCTAGGGCCCGCCTTGCTCCGGAAGGGCCTCCTGTTAACGCGCGACGTCCACCATGACCCTGTTTCCAAATAAGGGCACATCCCGAGGTCCTGGGGGTCGGAGCTTCAACATGAGAATTTCGGGGGGACACGACTGGACCCAGAACATCAGTCAGAGGTATCGGGTCCCGTGCGATCTAGGTTACAGCTCCGTAAGCTGTAGGTCGGGACGGCAATGCAGAATAACTCCTCCCTGCAGACACTTGGCGCGAGTCCTGTGTGGCGGAGGCACAACCCTGCCCCTGTCTTAGTCGGTTTGAGCTGCTATAACAAAAAAGCCACAGACTGGCTGGCTTGTGAACAATAGAAATTTATTTATTTATAATTTTTTAAATTAATTTTGAGAGAGGCAGAAACATCAAGTTGTTGTTCTGCTTAGCGATGCACTCGTTGGTTGACTCTTGTATGTGCCCTGACCAGGCATCAAACCCGCAACCTTGGTGCATCGGGACGCTGCTCTAACGGACCGAGCTACCCAGCCAGGGCCCAGACAACAGAAGTTTATTGCTCACAGTGCTGGAGGCTAGAAGTCCAAGGTCAAGGTGCCAGCATGGTGGAGTGAGGGCTCTCTTCGGGGTTCATAGCACCTTCTCGCTGTGGCCTCTCGTGGTGGAAGGAGGGCGGCGGGTGAGGGATCAATCTGGGGGCTCTTTTCTGAGGGCTCTGATTCCACCCACAAGGTCTCCACCCTCATGACCTCTTCCCCTCCCAAAGCCCGCCCCCTAATACCATCACCTTTGGGGACAGCGCTTCAACGTGAATTTGGGGGACACAGACACCCAGACCACAGGAACCCCCAATATATTTTGCCACCATTTGCACATTTGTTTCAATATCTAGATCTATACATGCGTCTGTTCTTTGATCTCCTTTGGTTGTAAAACCTCATCTTTAACACATGTTTACTTTTAGATCTGTAGGAGTCATGATTTTCCCTCCCCCTCCCCAAATTATTTTTGTAACAATATCATTCCACTCTGGGTCCATGTCCCCTCAGGCTGGGTCCGTGTCCCCTCCGTGCTCACGTGCCCCCACTGACACTCCCCGCACACTCAGCAGGTGGCCAGACACGGGCCAGCGGCTCAAAGGACCTTTTGTTGACCAGCTGGGAACTTGCCGGGGGCTCAGAAGAAGAAAGACACCCCCTTCTGCCGCTGCGCACAAAGGGCTCCCTGTTGTCCTGAAGTGGGGAAGGCTGGAGGAGCTCGTAATGGCTTCTGGGCTGGGTCGCTCCCTCACTCTCTCACACACACAAAGACAAACAATAACACGCTCTGTTCACCCTCACCTGGCTACACAATTGCACATCCAGACAAACGACAACTCAGAGACACAGGGACAGCCCACGCCTCTGTCCTGCCACGTGATGACACAGAAGCCCACCGGGCTCTCAATATGAAACCGGAAGAGCCGGCGTTGGCGCTGCCTGTCACGAGGAGACCCGGTGAGCAGAGACAGGGATTGGATCTTCATGGGCGCTTTATTCAGGTGGCGGGCGATCTGAGAAGGCGGCGGGTTTGGACCCTAACAGACAGTTTTACGTTTCTTCTCAAGCCGGCCTTTTTACAAGGAGAAAAAAGCAGAAGGGATTTGGAATTCAGGAAAGAGGTTTATCTGGATAAAAGCTGCCATCCGGCCATTTCCCTAACACCCTCTCATCCTTTGACCAATTTCTCTAACACCCTCTCTTCCTGTGACCGATGATTTACCCTCTGCGTCCTGTGTCCTGTGTCCTGGGTGATTTTCTTTATCTGTGTCCCGGGCTGCGGGATGTCTCTGCCTGGAGCACAGAGGCTCAGATCCCATGCTGATTGTTCGTGGTGCCCCGGGGGCACAAGGCAGAATCGCTTGGGTCCCTGAGAGTCAGGGGGGCCCTGCGCACCTGCATTCCTGCAACAAGTAGCTTTTCACCTGCATTAACCACTAAGCTTATCAGCTCTACCTGAAACTGCAACTTCCCAGTTCCTGAGTTCCCCCACCAAATATACAGCAGCCCCGTATCACAACACACCTCCACATGTGCGACACACAGTGGCAGCCACCTCCATCGGGCCACATGGTGGGACACACAGCTGCACCCCAGACACACCATAGCACGCGTGCGCGCACACACACACACACACACACAGAGCCCACCAGGGGCGGGCCAGTCACCCGGAGACCCACGCTCACCGGGACCGAAGCACACGCTGCAGGAACCTGTCCCAGCAGCGCAGCCGCACGCACATACGTGGCCATCGATGCCATCGGCGTGCCCCCCACGCAGCACCACACAACACACAACTCCGCCTGCCCCCAAGCGACACAACCGCACAGTAGTACAGCAACAATGTCACACAGCGGCATGCTGGGGACGAAACACAGAATGCACAGTGAGACTACACAACTGCATTGCTATGCTTAGAGGCAGATGCTGGCACACAACAGCACAGCTTCACCCATGAACACACACACACATCTCCTGGATGTTCCATGTCTCTTACTATGATTTTTTTTAAAAGATTTTATTTATTCACTTCTTAGAAGGGAAGGGAGGGAGAAAGAGAGAGAGAGAAACATCAATGTGTGAGAGAAATATTGACAGGTTGCCTTTCACATGCCCCAACTGGAGAATCTGGCCTGCAACCCAGGCATGTGGCCTGACTGGGAATCAAACTTGCGATCTTTTGTTCACAGGCCTGTGCTCAATCCACTGAGCCACCCTAGCCAGGGCTAGTATGATTTTTTGATGCTATTAGCTGTCTCCCCTGCAAGAAGGTGCCCTCTGTGTTTTTCTGCTTGTCCCATCCCTGGCATGTGCCCAGCGTCTAAAGCACCGAGTGGCACACAATAGGCACACAGTAAATATTCGTCGTATAAATGCATCTTTAAGAAAATATTTAGTAAGTTTATCGTCGCGTCATTTCTATCAAGAGTTACCATTGTGAACATCATTTATTTTCACAAAAACCATCTATAAAACAACATGCCATGTATTTGAATGTTCACAAACATTCGAAACCATTGAGTTGTGTAAAAACCGTCTGTGAAACAGGAAAACGAACTAAGTCATTTGTTAGCAACAGGAAAATTCTTATCTTGCTCTCCCTGCAATAATCCTTATCTCTTTCAAGGCAAGTATGGAGCCCTCAGAGTTCAGGCAAGTTGGATGGGGTGGAGGTGGGGGTTCACTTCCTTCCAGACTTCCCCTTGGCTGATAAGAAGCCAATTTGCATCCTTAAAGGGACAGGCGTATTTCTTTTTCTTTTTTTTAAAGATTTATTTATTTATTTTTAGAGAAGGGTTGGGAGAGAGAAAGAGAGGGAGAGTAGCATCAACGTGTGGTTGCATCTCACATGCCCCCTCCTGGGGACCTGGTGTGCAACCCAGGCCTGCGCCCTGACTGGGAATCAAACCGGCGACCCTGTGGTTTGCAG